ATTTTTCAGATTAGTTTAGTTAAAATATGTCAGGCTGGAATTGATCTATTTAATTAAAATATATCAGGCTGGAATTGATTATATATCGATGGCTAACAAGTCATGTACGTTTTATGGAATGGGTGCAGTCTCTGATGAAAGATTTTATTTTTAAACTAATTAAGTAAAATAAATTGTCCTAAAAAAATAAATAAATAAATAAATAAAATAGTGTATTTCTTTTTCTATAAATTATAAGTTTTAGAACTTTAACGAAATTCATCTAAATTACATAAATTATCAATGCATAAAAATTTACTTTTTGCTTAATAAAAATTGCACAGTTGACTCTCATCAGAGATTGCGATATTTTCTGATCTAAATATATTCTATTAATATCTTAATATATTTAATACTAGTGTATGAATATTCAGAAAAGTTAGAGACATGTTTATCGAAGGAAAATATAAAAAGTTTCGAGTTTTCACAATTTAAAAACATTAACCAAATTGGATATGGAGGGTATTCAATCGTATTTTCAGCCACCTGTCAGGAAGAAAAATATACACTAAAAAATTTACAATTGAACTTGAGTTTAGATGAAAAAATGGTTAAAAAAATTATTAAGGAAGTAATGTATTGAAATAAATTATTAAAAATACTTAATACCAAGATTTTCGATATCTAAAATTTAATAAATTCAAATTTCATAATAATATAGATTAAACTTCTAAACAAACTTAATCACCCCAACGTTATTAAATTCTATGGAATTTCAAGAGGCATGAATAAATTCATCTTTAAAATTTAAGTCATAAAGCCTTGATCTTATATAAATTCAATAAATTTTTAGATCCGCAATCAAGACATTTTATGTTGGTGTTGCAGTTTGCTAATGATGGTAATCTCCGGGATTATTTATTAGGAAAGAGACAAAATGGCGTTTATAAAATTACATGGTCTGACCTCATTAAGATAGCCATTGATATTACCAACGGATTAATCTATTTACATAAGAATGATATTATTCATAGAGATCTAGTAAGCTTTAATTTTTTAAATGTATCAATTTTTACAAAAATTTATAATTAAATAATTTATTTTATAAAATTTTCTAGCATTCTAAAAACATTTTATTAAATGATGGTAATGCCTTAATTGCAGATTTTGGGATATCTAAAGAGCTAAATGATACGACCAGTTCAAGCTCATTTGCAAAAGGCATTCTAGCATACATCGATCCTCAAAACCTTCTAAAAAAGCATATCAATGATAAAAGATCAGATATTTACAGCCTCGGTGTCTTATTTTGGGAACTCACAAGCGGGATTCCGCCATTCCGTAAGCTTCCTTATTTGGCTTTATCGGAAAAAATCATGAATAATCAACGGGAAAAGACTATTCCCAACACTCCTCAGGATTACGTTGACCTTTACGAGAAGTGTTGGTCTAATAGTCCAGATCAACGTCCAACATTATCTAAAATTTTGAAACAGCTTACGAAACTTGTAAATCATATTAGCAAGTACGTATTTTAAAAAGTTGGCTTTATAGATTTTGTTAATAATCATACTTACGCTAAATTCTCTGTTAAATTCTCTATAGGTGGGTATTTTATATATAGCTATCAAATTGTCACGCATATCGTGCCTGGTGTTGTACATGCTTGAACATATGTATATTCGAATTTAATGACTTAATTATTATATTCGGATGCCAATTCTTATTTGTTATTTCATATAATGTCTACGACTCTAACCTTTTTTTTCTTATTAGTATTAATGCAATCATTGTTAACGATGATCATTACACAATTACGTTCGTAGACTTGGATAAATCGTCAAATTTGAAAGAAGTTCGTCGGCATCTATCAAAAGAAAAAGATTTAATGTTGGGTCGACAAAATGTCTATTTTTACAATCGACGTATGGAAAAAATATCACGAGACCATGAAAATAATTATACACTTGAAGATATTTTGATGCCAGATGGTTCTGATTTTTCGTTTTATATAGAAAGTGACCTTTCAAAACCAAGTTTTCCAAAAATCGTGCAACTACTTAGCCTAGATAGAGGGCGGATATTTGATAACAGGAGTATAAAGACAGCAAGCAAACAGGCAGGCATCGTTAAAGATCCTAAAGAGAAAGATATTAATATGCAAAAAGAATACATTAATACAGGAGAGGGAAAAAAAATATATTATCAGATAGGTAATATTCGTCTATTGCAAAGAGAATTGCAGGTTAGTGAAGAATATATTAAAGCAATCAAAGCTGCACTGGATGATAATAAAAGTGTTGAAGAGCAAAGAGAAGCTTTGAATAAAGTTGGAAAAGAATATGGTTACTTCTGGTAAGAATATTTTTGTGCTTTTGTCTCATCAATAAGTATAATGTTATGCTCATATTTATATAGAGTTTAATTATGATAATAACAGGATGCCAGACGTAAAACTTGGAAGGAAACTACAAATTCAAGTAGAGGAAATGCCAGACTCTGCTTCAAGTGATCGACAATAAATTGCATCAAGCAGTAAAACATCATATCTGTGAATTATTTATGAATGTCAAATTATTCGAATATCATATTGTAATAGCACTAATTAATTTTATCAATTAACATCATCATAAACATTGTCATAATTATTGTTCTGAAACTATATATGAAATAGTTCTTTGGAGAACAGTATTACTATAGTTAGTGGAAGCCTGTACTAAATGGTAGACTAGATATAACGAATATATCCATTAGACCAATTTTGATATTTTTTCAAATATTATATGGAAGTCTACTAGTAAAATACTTTATACCCATGCAATTTAGTGTAACGAATTAAAATTTTCGTTTCTTTAGTTTTGTTAATAAACCTACATTGTAATCAGTAAATTGTCCTCATGATATTTCATACATACTAAAATATTTTAAGGAATTGCACGCTATCTACCTAACGATTTCAGAGGCATTTTATATCCTTGTGTTGGATTTAGATCGCGAGGCGGCTCAGTAGAAATTAACTTCGGCAACAAAAAATTTAAATATTCTGGTAAATTTATTCAATGGGTTTAATTATTTTTGTTATTTAGCATTTAACATTGTTTAAATATATTTCAATTGACAGCAATGACTAATGAAAACATTAGCATAAAACCAAATAATAATGCATTAGCATTGGAATATCAAGAAAAGGCTTATTATATGATGGGTGGATATGAAAATATGCTTGTTAATTTAACTAATGAATTAACAAAATCACTAGAAAACAAAAGGCCAGTTAATGTATTTGAATTAACCTACAGAGGGAAAATATATTTTATTATGGGCGAATATGATAAGGCATTGGAAGATTTAACTAGATTGCTAAAAATCATGCCAAATAATACCATAGCTTTAAGATATCGAAGTGAAATTAATTATATAATGAAAAGGTACGATGAATCAATTGCTGACTTGGAGAAATTATTAAAAATTAAGCCTAAAGATACATGGGCAGTAGAGGCACATAAATTAGTTGAAAAGCTGTAAGTATAATATGCATTTGTAAATTTTAACTTTAAAGAACTTAAAAGTAAATAATCATTTGGCCATTACTTATGTCTCCACAATAGTCTGTAAGTACAGTAACCGAAGTTTTTACTATGCAAATCACGTTCATTTCACTATAAAACTAACATAACCATATCTAAATCACTTGTATCACCATAGCGAGTAAGTATAATAATCGAATTTTTTACAATAAATCACTATAGAAACCATGTTCATTCCAATACAAACTAACAACCATATCTAAAATCACTTGTATCACCATAGCGAGTAAATATAATAATCGAATGTTTTACAGTATAGAAATCACGTTCATTCCAATACAAAACTAACATAACCATATCTATGTATCGTCACAATAGTTAGTAAGTACAGTAAAGCAGAATTTTTTTACAGTAAATTACTATAGAAATCACGTTCATTCCTATACGAAACTAACATAACCATATCTTAATCACTTATATCACCATAGTGAGTAAGTATAATAAACGAATTTTTTACAGTAAATCATTATAGAAATCACATTCATTCCAATACAAAACTAACAATAATATCGTATTAACCACAATAGTTAGTAAGTGAATAATCGAATTTTTTACAGAAATCACGTCCATTCCAATACAAAACTAACAAACCATTTCTAAATCAAATGTATCACCACAATAGTCTGTAAGAATTTTTTGAGAATATAGTAAATATGTATTGTATACTTTATAAAGAATGTATATATAAAAACATTAATTAGTTATTAAAATGATGTAATGTACGATTAGCAAAACATGTACGTATGTATGATATATAATAAATTATTATAAGTGCCGCCAATACATTTGAGGCGGGCTTTTAAGTTATAATTTATCGGACTAAGTTTATTTAATTTGGGAATTTTTATATAGTAAATTGTAAATTTAAGAATCCGAAGCGTAATATTCTCTTGACGACCCTAAATATAGTTTTCTCTTTGCGATACCATCTATATGATTAATCAATGATGCATAAAATATAGTCTGTATATATAATGTGTTGATAATTATTTGATTTGTTTTCTTCTCTGCATTTCTTTTTAAATAAAACCTTGTCTAATGGAATCAGATTTGGATTCGACTGTTGAAGAAAATTATAAATTGTCCTATGCAATTCCGATATCCGATGTGGCGCAGCTATGGTTGTCACTGAACAATGTCCGATCACGTTGCATAGGACAATTCGGACAATTTTCCAATGTCCGATGATTATCCGATGCTAATTTACTTCTATTATTTTAGCACATGACAAGGTGAAAACTATATAAAAAAATTAATATAGATAATTTGGCGTACATACGTTTATTGCTTATTTTATTTTTATTTTTAGCTTGGAAATTATCCCTTGAAAGCATATATCGTTTAAAATGAGAACCTTTTTGCCATTTGTTCAAAACATTCATAAGAAAAAAAATTGACCAACCTGCTGATACATATAATCTAAACTTTTGTCATAAATTGATTACCTGCATAGTATCATCATAAGTTTTTGAAACCAATATTCATAATTAGTTTAGTTTATGCAGGTGATAAATTATAACGAAAAGTTAAGTGTCGGCTGGTGGGAAATTTCAATTTTTTTTTTCATATGAAGTTTCAATCGATAATTTCCAAGCTAAAAATAAAAATAAAACAATCAATAACTGTCATATGATTGTTATATGTTTCGAACTAGTTCAAGTAAAGAACTTGTAATTGTTCAGATTTCTTAAGTTATAATAACAGTAACTCGATTTAAAAGATATTGGTTAGTGGTAGGTGGTGTAATACAATAATATAAGCCAGTATACCTTTGATTTTAAACACTAATAAATAGCGATAATCATTAATCATTCAACCTTACAGAATACTGTACCAATTCTTATACTCTAGTTCGAACCTTTTAGTTAATCAATTGACCCTATGCGTTGACGAAGTCACGCTAGGGTTATTATCGCGAGGATCACCCATTCGAATAAGTGTAACCCGAAA